TCTGCAAAGTGAAGACAAAAACACACTTCAATTATAACACCAAAAAACATAATTTTCTCCCCCCCCCCCCCCACCCCACCAATTCGTTTTTCATATGCTTCACTTTTCTCTTTCCTTCTGTAAATATTTTTCAATAGGAATTGCATGGGAAATACATACATATACACATACATATACATATACATATATATATATATATAATTATCTCTATTTATGTGCTTATAAATGTTGAAAACAAAAATAAAAAGTTTAAAATTTGAAGGGTGTGATCAACGTGACTTCTCTAGAGATCGAGATTTCGTCCCAACAAGAATACAAATGAATGGGCCAAAAATTCATTCTCACCACCCAACCACAACTCAATTCGGTTGAGTTATAAGGTCAACCCACGAATCCAAAATCGGTGTATTATTATTATTTTTTTTAAAATAAATATTATATGTACGCGCGGAAAAATTATTTTAACTAAAATATTACGATTCATTACAAAAAAAATATAAATTTTTTTTGTAAAATGACAAATCGAAGTGAATGCGAAACCCTAAAAACTAAATCTCATGGCTTAAATTAAAAAAGAAAAGCAAGCGATTATGAATTTACTTAATGGTGAAAGTTTAATTTAAGAGTGAAATTTGCATTTAAACAAAAAGAATTTGTGAGGACAGTAAGTTAGTGAGAGACTTTAGAGCGGTAGCTTGGGTTTGGGCTTGGGTTTGGGCTTGGGCTTGGGCAGAGTGAGTTGTGGATGTACCTTACCCAATATAAATTGGGGCCTACTCCGATATTTGAAATGGGTCATGAGACTTTAGAGCGGTAGCTTGAGTTTGGGTTTGGGTTTAAACTTGGGCTTGGGCTTGGGCAGAGTGAGTTGTTGTGGATGTGCCTGACCCAATATAAATTGAGGTCTACTCGACGGATGGTTATCACCCGATATTTGAATTGGGTCACGTAGAAATTGCGTCGGTATAGTCTTTAAAATCTAAACCTTACCCTTCAAATTTGGGTAGGTGGGCGATCAATATTCACTCCAAATTCTCGTTTGCTTATTGTTGTTAGTCACGATTTAACTTGGTTGGATTTCAAATGTTTATTCCAAGACAGGTGAGAAGATTGGTTAAGAACAGAGTGATTGTTAGGTTGACATCATTAGGTGAGGAATTGAAAGGAACCCCTTTACTTGATTTGGTCACCAAAAAAACGAAAGCAAGTAAATTTATGTATTGGGTTTTTTTGGGCCTACTCCCCACCCACTTTTAGATCCTATACATAATAAGCATTCGACTTTTCCCTAATTGGGTTTCTTTTGGTTCTTAAAATTCCTAATTGGGTCTCTACCGCTCTCGCAATTACGTTTGGTGTTAGCTCGATTCGTATGGTTTATCCAACCGCAACAAATTTAAATTTTTCTCCAATCGGTATTTTCTTCGTGGCAAAGGCATTTATTCTCGTAAAAAATATGTCGAAATTATTTGCAACTTAGTTCGATAATTAGACAGACAATGGTCCCTTCAACTTGAAAAATCCAAAAGCTAAGTTTCAAAATTTTCAACTTCCCTTACACGATTACTTTAAATAGCAGTGGGCCTAAACATTATTCTTGCCGGAAGGTAATCCCAATTCCCACGAGTTCGAGTTCGAGTTCGAGTTCTTCTTTTTTTGAAATATCAACGGACGGAATCTTCCACGAAAGTAGTGGGTAATAATAAGTTTTGGGTCTCGTAATTCTCTTCTCTTTATATTTTTTTTTAAAAGAAAAGAAGAATTTCATTCTTTGATTGTATCGTTTTAATTATCTAAATAAACTTTCGGGTTAAGCTTCTATAACTCTGTTACTAAGAACGAAATATTTTAAAATTTATTTTTTCGAATAGCAGAAAATTTATGCTTTAGAAATCAGAGATCCACAAAAAACTCTACAGCCATACGTTAACAGCGAAACAACCATAAATGAAATGGTCCAAGTTAAACATGTCGGGAAAATATAAAAGTCATAGGCGAATGATGCAGCTTGTCTCCACTCCTCCAAAAATTCCACACCCAAATCATATTTTTGCAAAAACAAAACGATATACATCTATTATAACGAATGTCATTCCCAAATTACACAGCAATTCGTGCCCCACAGTGTGTGTGTGTAGTGGCGGTAGAAGTTCCAAGTAGCAGACAACCAATATCTACTGAATTATACCCAAAGAAAATATTGAGTTTTTGAATTCAACGAATGAAACGACCACATCAGATTGTGACTGACCCAGATGATGGTTTGGATAGAAGCCACGTCGTATTTGGCAGCGAGTCAGTCGTTTCCCCCGCCGAGATTATTTATATCTACCGCCCCGTGCGGCTTCTCATGTCGTAGTAACCCGCGGGCTTGCCGCGGCGGCGAACCACGTGAAGCTCCCACGAATTTATAAAAACATACGTCGTTGACCCCCCGCCCCGCTCGCCATAAATAAATCTTGCTAACCCTAAAAGAGCAAACGTGCATTGCATCTCCTGTGAGAAGAAATAAAAAAAAAAATTTAAGGCTTGCAAACGAAGTAATGGGTGTGTCTTGCTGCATGCACACCAAACATAACAAGAACAAAATTAGCAGATGTAGAATATGCATGTGTCTGATGTTTGTAACCTATACGTATTATAATATACCGAGCATCAGTGCTGAGAATATGTGTATCTAAGTCCTCCACATCTCACCCACACTTCGGATTTGATTAATACATGTAAGTCTTCTACGAGCTTTGATTTATTTTATTTTATTTTATTTTATTTTATGTTGTTTTTCTGGTGTGGTTCGTTCGAAAGGCACACAAAAAAAAAAACAAAAAATTCATTATATAATTAACAAAGTGTAAGACAACCAAACATGTCATAATATTTTATCGGATATGTTAATTTGGATTAATCTTAATTTAACAATAAAGTTGTATGCTTTTGAGATATTACAAAAAGCACTTTTGGGAAATTGAGTTTGAATCATCCACATAACCAACGGAATAAAGAGGGTTTACTAAGTGATTGTGGAATTACATTTTCATACCCATATATATATATATATATGTGTGTGTCTGAATTTTTATTTTATATATTTGAACTCGGAATTTAAATTAAACTGAAAATTGTCTATCATGTTTAATTATTATATAAATTATAAATAAATAATATATATTTACTATTTTATATATTAAAAATATATTACTTGCTCTAAAGACTCGGAATTTAAAAGAAATGAATTTTTATAATTTAAATGTGTAAGTAAATAATAATATTAGAGTTTACGTTTATTACACAGTAAATTATAATGCCCAATGGAATTACGTAAATGTTCCAACTATGATTGATTTGTAAAAAAAAGTAAATAAATTATTTAAAACAAATAGATAAATGTCCTAAAAGTTAACATTCACTAGCTCTTGAAATGTAGAGGAGGTAAACTACTCATAATCTTCTTACTGATCAGGATATGAATCATGGTCCTCTTGATCTTTTATGGTTAATACGAGGGTGTGCTACACGAACCCAGTAAGAATATCACGCTAATTACTGAAACGGAAAATAAAGATCGGTAAAAATCACAAAAGAACTAATGGAGCCCATAATATAAGTAAATTCATTTAATATCAAAATGTTATTTCTATACTTACCGTTACGAGTTTTCCAAAACTAACCTATAAGACAAACACTCATATAACATTTCTAATTTCATGTACAAGTGAGTAAAGTTGATCATTCTCTATTTTTACCTGCTTACTGGGACTCTTGGGTTTCTAAAGGGATATCTCCATACTCGTGAACTTAATATTTAAATATGTCAATTTAATCAATCATCTCCATACCACGTTTGGTAATGGACGCCAAATGCACAATCGCATCGATACCCTGTCTGGTATGAGGGTGAACTATATCTCTTAATCTTTCCAGTATGGGATTTCTCAGCCCTGTCTGGCTGAATATTGTCGACGATAGAATGCATCTTAGCCCGTTCACGTGCGCGAA